GCCCGCCATACCTGTCGTAGAAGGGATGCTCCTCGCCGAAGTCCCGAAGGTGCTTCTTCTGCTTTTTCGTCAGGGTGCTGAGCAGCTGGTTCTGGCTGCGGCTCCCGCGTTTGCCCATCGCGAACCCTCAAGCTTGTCCGCCTTCAAGACTCGCTCAGCCCACCGGGAAGTGGTCCCTTCCACCCACCGGCGTGGGGCTCGCCGGCGGCGCTTTACGGCGGAAGCAGGTTGCCATAAAGCGGACCCGCTTTACGTCGCGCGTGTACGACAGGCGTTAGGGATCCCCGGTGCCGACTCTGCCCCCTAGCGAGGCCCTTTAGAAACACAGGCGCGTGTGCCCGTTTGCTGGAGCTAGACCTTGGCAGCGGGGCTTGGGGCCGCCAGGGCTGGGTAAACGGGTGGGCATCGTCCTGCGCCAACAGGCAGTAGCGGAGATGGCTGTATGGCACCGTAATAAAAATACCAGCCAACATGGGAGGGTGCCCGCGCGTCTGACTCATCCCCACGACACGGCGCAATGAGAGCTTCGTAATGAGCCTGATCCTGCAGACGAGGAAACCGACGCTTAGGAAAGGCCACACGCTAGCAAGAGGGGGGATGGAAACCCAAGTCTTTCTCATGTGACCGCAGGCTTTTACCCATGACCTACGCGTGCTCTGTCCAGAAGGGAGATGCCAGGCTGAGGTTCCCACCCTGACCCCACCCCTCACTTTCTGAAAGTTGCAGAGCCCCTAGAAACAAATCTCTTCCTCCATGGTTCCTGTTACAAGAGCAGAAACACACCCAGAGAGGTAAAGCGACTTTCCTAAAATCACCCAGCGAGCCAGATGGCAGAGGAAGCAGAACTCAGTGACCTGTCTCAGGAATCAACTCTGGGGATGGAAAACGTTTTAAGATGGAGCAACTGGTTTATATCTTGATCGGTGTAGTAGTTACGCTTTGTGTACAATTACCTGAAATTAGTGACACTGTACATTTAAAATCGGTGAGTTTTAATGTAAATAATGGGGTTATTATGTAAGTAATAACCTCAGTAAACAAACAGGAAAATGCAAAAGCCAAAACTGGGCTCAGCACTCCGGGGACGTGCGGAGTGTGCGGGGTGTGCGGGGCTACTTGAGAGCACGAGATAAACACAGGGACACCTTTCTCCTAACGATGACTTAGAAGATCATGTTTCTATAAAAACAAAGCGGTAATTCATAGACTGTAACATTCACCTGAATTTTTAAGGTGAAGCAGGAGCCATCAAAGCATGTTCACTTGGCTCTGCTGCTAGGAAAATGAGCTTTGCCCACTACCATGTCACACCTGCAGAAGTTGCACTGGAACTGCTAGGATCCTAGTCTTGTCCCTTCTAGTGGTCATCTCCCAGTCCTAATTAAACTCTGTGAGGCTGGGGTGGGGTAGGGAGGGTAGGGAGATAGAGGGAGTACCAAGGAAATAAGCAAACAGTGGGTGGTGCCAGCCACTGGCCCAGCTAAGGAAACCATAAACAAACAGACATCTGTCTTCTGTCTAATGTCAAGATAAAAGGTCAGTCACTTATGGTAACAAAAGGCTGTGTGCAAAATGTCATCATATATTTCAAGGCACTAACCACAGTATAACTTGGTTGTAAGAACAAAGACTCAGCTTTTTTTGTCCCACCCTACCCCAAGTGCCCCAGCTTCCCTCCCCAGAGGCAACCAGTTCCTTGGTTTTCTTCCAGAGATCTTCTATAAAAAGCCATACTCTTGAGCAACTGAGGTGACTCCTTTCCCTCCTGGTTTCCACATCCTTGTGGTTCTGTGGACAGGTCTAGACCGTTCCCAGGTTCAGGCAAAAAAAAATGTGCCGAGCTCCACCCAAGGGGCCTCTTCATTGGTCCACTGAGCAATGGGAAAGGGGCCCCACTTTTGAAAATATTTACATTAGCTTTTGACAATGTAAAAGGGGACCCTTTGTGACATTTTAACCTGAGAGTCCAGAAGCTGAACATTTTTTCACACCCCAAGTGAAAGTTCTCTTAGTAAAAGTCACACAAAGAAGAGGTATGTGCCAACTAGTGAGGGCCCTGGGAAGACCGGAATGAAGGCAGAACTTGTTTTGCTTTTTCCTTCCCACAGGCCGCCTTCCTTTTCCTTCCTCCAAGGCTTTCTTTCACCTTTACCCTCAGTACACGGCACTTTCAGGAGTAAAAGTCCAGAAAGTAATCTTTTATGCTAGTTTGTAAAGAGATGTTTAGGAATTAAGGTGACTTTTCCCAGGGTATTTGCAATTCCCGGGAGATGCCCCAGGATGATGACCTCAAGGAGTGAGAGGGGGATGGCTATCCCTCAGGACAAGAGTATCAGAATGTTCAGGAAGGTGTTAAAATTTTTTAAAAATAAAAACCTTTTTTGGGGAAAATTTCAAGTACATACAAAAGGAGACAAAACAGTATAATGCTTGCCCATTACCCATTGTTCAGCTTCACCAATTATCAGCACAAGGCTATCTTATTTCATATACAGGGGTGGGCAAAAGTAGGTTTCTAGTTGCTTGTATGGAAAAATATATAATGCAGGAATAAATAATAATACAAGAATAAAGTGTGTTTCCCATACTCACAACTGTAAACTTACTTTTGCCCACCCCTGTATATGCCCATCTGCTGCCCCTGACACCCCTCTGTATTATATTTGAAGTAACTCCTAGGCATCCTATGATTTCATCTGTAAGTATTTTAGTCTGCATTTGTAAAGATAAGGGTTGGTTTTTATTTTTTATTTTATTAAGGTTATTTTTTAACATAGTCACATCGGTATTATTTAAGCTACAAAAAGTGATAATTACAATGGTGCCTTGGTTTTCGAACGTCTCCCGTGGCGAGCATTTTGGTTTCCCATCGCCATAAACCTGGGAGTAAATGCTTCGGTTTTCGAACACGCCTCGGAAGTCGAACATGCTCCCGGTGAGGGCAAGATCCTGAGGCCCAGCTGTCGGCTGTGGGTCCCTCGGTTTTCCAACCACTGTATTTAATATCATTACATATCCAGTCAGTGTTCAAATTGTGATCGTCTCGTAAACATGTTTTTACATTTTGCTGGTTTACGTGTTCTACTGTTCTCTATGTTTCTTGTGAATAGGTTGTTGGACCTAGAACTTTTTTTTTTTTTTTTTTTTTTCAGAATCTGAGTTTTTCTTTTTTCTTAATTTTTAGAGAGAGAAACATCAATTTGCTGTTCTACTTATTTATGAATTTATTCATTGCTTCTTGTAAAGCGCCCTGACCCTAGATCGAACCCAAAACCTTGGCATATGGGGACGACACTCTAACCAACTGAGCTACCCGGTCAGGGCAGACTTTAATTACAGTCGGTATTTTATATTTCCATAAGGAGGCATACAACATCTGGTGGCCTTTCGTTTTGTGATGTTAGCAGCCATTGGTGCTTAATGATTAGATTTGTTAATTCATAGGAGGTTGCATTCTATTCCCATCAAGGGAGAGATATTCTAATTGTATTATTTTTTTTCTTCACTAACTTGCTGGACTCTTTCCATAATGACAAACTTTTCCTTATCAAGATGTTGGTTACCCAACGATACAGTTTATAAAGGCAGAGTAAATGCTTGGTTCTCTCCATTTACTAATTTTCAGCACAAGAAGTCAATACACTAGATCTTCTCATGCTGATTAATCAAGATTTTGTTTTTATTTTTAGTGTCATTATTAATTCATGGAGTTATACAAACTAATGCATTTTAATCCCTTGCAAACAGGATGGTGTATATGGTTTGGGAAAGCTTACTTGATATATAGCTCTGTATTTGAAAAGACTTAAACAAACCACTTTCTAGTGCAAATTACAGAAAATAAGCAGGAGTCTAGCTGAGATTCTCAAGGGGGTTGGGCATGGGGAGGTCAGAGCTTGAGGATACAGATCAGGTACTGGGGATGTTGGAATTTTGAAATTTATGTAATAACAGGGCACACGAATTCAAGACATGTTGACAGGGAACTATATATAAACCAAAAGTGTGATTCTCTGATGATAAAAGTTCAGACATCTGAGCCACTGATTTGGGAAGATTTTCAGGAAGGGGTCTGTGTGTGTGTGTGTGTGTGTGTGTGTGTGTGTATGTGTTTGTCAGGCATCTATTGCCTCCTAGAGGCCTTAAATCAGAGTTTCCTATGCATAGAACAGCCCCTCCACCACTCTCTTATGCATGTCTATACACACCCCAAAGCAATCCAGCCTCTCCCTGAGTGTGCTGGCAGAAAGCAGTCTGTTGCTACCTTTATAATGAAACGAGCTTACTTATTTATTCAAAAAAATATGTACTAAACACTGTGTGCCAGGTGCTGTGCTCACAGCTGAGGTGAGGAAAAGAGTAAGATCCATGCCAGCCTCTTCAAGGAGTTCGCAGTCTTGACCAGGTGTGAGTAAGTGCACAGGATATCACAATACACTGTGAGACATGCTGAACTGATAAACTCTGGACCTGGATACCAAGGGAGCAGGGAGGACAGTGTTTAGGGCTGGGGGCCAAGTAGGGGAGGGGGAATCTGCTGCTGTTGGGCCTTTGTCAATCAGTCACATTCATTGAACATTAGTACTGAATTCAAAATTGATCTAGATTCTAGATCTTTGGCTGTGTGAGTTGTTTCAGCTGCCGTTATGAACAGCGTGTGTGTGTTCAGGACAGGATATGAGGGATACAGAACAACAGGAAATTAGAAAGCTGTGTAGTCATTGGCTTCCGCAGCATGTATTGTGTATGGAGCAATACGTTTCCTAGGTGGAGAATGTTTTAGAAAACGAGATTATGTCTGAGAAAAGAAAAAGCTTTGTAATGCACTGTACATAACATAGAAATGCAAAATATCATATATAGTTCCTACCCTTTCATCTGTACCTATAACAAGGAACCCTTTGTCAAACCTGTAATAAATATGTTTCCTCAGGCCTATCAGGGATTGAGCTACATTAGGTCTAGCCTAAAATTGAAATATTTCATCAGATTATATTTGTCTAATTAAGACAAGCCTAAAATTCTGTGCTAGAGGACAGAAGGTTCACATCCCTCCCTCTTGTGGAGTATTGGTATCACTACACTCTATTTTTTTATATTTTCCTGCAAAGGCTCCGAAATGCGTATGTGCATTTATTTATCAAACATTTACTAAGCAGAGACTGTGTTGCAGGCCTGAGGCACCAGGGATTTAAAAAGCTCAGACCTCGGACTTTTCCCTTGAAGAGCTCATAACCTAGCTAAAGAAACAAAGCAATTAACATAATTACATCGTCAAGGGCTGTGTGCTGTATTAGAAGGGTGTGCAAAGGGTTCTAGGAACCCAGAACACAAAGAAACACTCTGCTGGGGGAGGGGGAGGGCTGTGGGGAGCTACACAGAGGGTGTGCCGGGTAAACACGTAGAGAAA